TTGCCTTAAAAGTTTTCAACTAATTATGAAGAAAAATGCATGGAGAATAACCTCCTTTCCAAGTTGTTTGAAACTACAATATTAGAAGAAAGTCAGATGTTACGTTTTGGTGACTTTTAATTCATTTGTGAACAAATACTGGTGACATCACATTTTGAATACCTCAATGACTCAGAAAGATAATACTTTTTTCCTAACTCTATTGACCTAATTGGTCATAAGAGGCTAGTTTTGCTAGAAAGGGAGAGTTGGGGCAGGGGTAGGTAAGGGAAGAAGATTGAAGGGGAACCACATTGTGAATTCTTCAGAAGTGCAGCAGCCTCCATAGTTGTTCCAGCAATTGGGACACCGGGATAGATGAGTTCCCAGCAAACCCAGGAAGACCTCGTTCTCAGAGACACTCATGTCCAATGGATGAAATCTCAGCTGGTGACACAGAAGTAGAAGTGTCAAGACATTAAAAGGTCTTGCAGGATAAAGAATATACTTAATATACTCAGCAGCACCCAGGTGCCTCACCAGAGGGGCTATCTCAGCACTGAGAGGCTCTATAATGGTAGTGGTCTGAAATTTGCCAAATTCTGAGATGTAAATGTGAGCAATATCAAGAAGCCCTCACATAGCAGAGCAGTGAAGTATAAAGACTGACCATGGGCTCAGAGGCAGGGGCCCAGCAGCACCCAGAATCCTTGGCAGGATGCTGGATCCTGGGCTTAGTGGTACAGGCCTGTTCATCAATGCTCCATCTGTGGGCAAGGACTTAGACTCAGGGCCTGAGGCTGAGGGCCTAAAGCTATGTGCCCTGTGACCATCAAGAGGCACCTCCTGGCTGGAGCCTGGAGTATTGGCTCCTGTGTCCCCAGTTACAGAGGGCAAGGACCATGGCCACGTCTATCAGTTGAGGGGCTCAGACCAGGGTTGGCAGAGCTGGGGTGGGCAGTGGGTCCAGGCTAAGTTCATGGGCTGGGAAGCATCATTGCAGGATGGAAAGGCCATGGGAACACCAGGCACAAGGCTAAGGCAATGGGAACCACAGCCCGAGGCCATAGGTTGAGTGGGTCATGACCCTGTTGACATGAGTGGTGACTGGGGCCAGGCTAGTCCACTCCAGCACTTGGATCTTTCACCAGGTGGGCATCTCCAGGCTGGCGTGTGCCCTGGACTCCATGGGGTCTGCAACTGCCCCAAATGACTATGTTTCCACAGGTCATAGCACTTGGGTTACAGGATGCCCACAGTGGCTTTCCCATCACTGCACTGAGACTCCACTTTGCTTGAATTGATCTATTCCATGGTGGGAAAATTCATGGCCTCCTGGAAGTTAAAGCCATGGTTGAAGCCAGCATGGTGGCCATAAAGAAACCATTTAGAAGTTTAGCCTTCTCCTTGAGTTTTCCCCACATTCAGCCTTATCAACTGCAAGCACAACAAAATAAGTTTTGTCTCTTCCCTTCCATCAATTATAGTTCTAAAAATATTTTCAGTGGTTAATAGTGCAAATTCCATACATTATTGACTGAAGTGCCTCAAATACCTCACATTAAGGAAAATGGTGGCTTGGGTCTAAAATAGCTCACTACTAGATAAACAATTTTGTATTTTATTTTATGGAAGGATTCATTGCTTCCTTGTGGGTGAGTGTAAACCAAGACTGACTGTTGAATTTTATCAAATGACTATCAGCATCTATAAACATAATCATATAATTTCTGGATACATTTACAAGATAAGTTATATTTCCAGATTTCCTTGCTTTAAACCATTGTTACCTTCCTGCAATAAATCCCATGTAGTCATCATATGTTACTCTTTTAATGTACTTAGATTATCTCAGCTAATGCTTAAGTTAAAATTTTTACATTGATGTTCATCAATAAGTTTTGTCTCTTTTCTCTCATTCTGCGATTCATCAGGATTTTCTGTCAATGATGTACTTATTTTAAAATATGAAATTTTTTTCTCATTTTAAAGGCCTAGGTATACTAGAAATGAAGATGTCACACAATTCCTCTGCGGATTTGTCTAATCTTCATTTTTGAATGGGCAGATCTTCTGCTCTTTCTATATTTCAGACACAGAAGTTTATGCCTTAAATTTTTTGTTTAGTAAGTTAATTTTTCTAACAAAAAATCCATATCATTGGTGCTTTGTGTTGATTTAGTATATATTTTACAGTTATTTTAACTCATTAATTTATTTGTATACATGTATGAATTCCTTCCAACTACTTTCAGTTTATCTTATCCTAACTTGTACATTAGAAGTTTAATCCAGTTAATTTCATTCTTTGAATATGATGGAGAAAATACTTAAGGCTGCAGTATTTTCAGCACTATTGTAAATGAATCTCATATATTTCTTTGTATTTTATTAAGTTTTAAATCTAGAAACACTCCAATAATGCTATTGTGTCCCAAGCATTGATATTAACAAATTGCACATATTAATGCATAGAACTGTCAACTAAACACAGGAGGTAGGTGCTATCTTCATTTTATGTTGAGGAAACTGAGTCATAAGGTTAAGTAATTTTCAAGGTCACAAGCTGATAAGAGAAACTTGGGAACAAAATCAGGCTTTCTTACTGCCGAGTTTATGCATGTAATAGATATTTATTGTTTTGTGAAAATTTGGCTTTTTTGGTACTTGAAGAGAGGAAGTATTTTCTATCATCTAGTAGGTCAATACTACCTTACTGTTAATGTAGTTTAAGTTTTCCATATCCTTATATTTCTCCATTTTTTCTGCCTTGGATGAGAGACTGTTTCATTCACACATTGCTGTAAAGAAATACCTGAAGGCTGGGTGTGGTCCCTCACGGCTGTAATCCCAGCACTTTGGGAAGAGGAGGCAGGTGGATCACCTGAGGTCAGGAGTTTGAGATCAGCCTGGCCAACATGATTAAACACCATCTGCACAAAAAATATAAAATTAGCTGGGTGTGGTGGCAGGCGCCAGTAATCTCAGCTACTAGGGAGGCTGAGGCAGGAGAATCACTTGAACCCAGAAGGCAGAGGTTGCAGTGAGCTGAGATTGCGCCACTGCACTCCAGCCTGGGCACGAGCGAAACTACATTAAAAAAAAAAAAAAAAAAATCCCTGAAATTGGGTAATTTATATTATAAAGACAAGAGTTTTAATTGGCTCATGGTTCTGCAGGCTGTGCAGGGAGCACAGGAGCTTCAGCTTCTGGGAAAGCCTCAGGAAATTTACAGTCATGGGGAAAGGGGAAACAGGCACATCATATATAGCTGGAGCAGGAGGAAGGGAGAGGGGGAAGGTGGTACACACTTTTAAACAACCAGATACTCCTAGAACTGTATCTCAAGAATAGCACTACGGGGATACTGCTAAATCATTCATGACAAACCCCCGCCATGATCCAGTCATCTCCCACCAGGCCCCACCTCCAACATTAGAGATTAAAATTCCACATGAGATTTGGGGAGGAACACATATCCAAACCATACTGGTGACTTAAATGTTCCTATTTTTAATCTGTTTCTTTAAACTTGTCTTTTACCTACTATAATTTATACTTTGTGGAACTTACTTGAATATTCATGACCGCTGTAATTTCATTGTGAAATTTAGTATTTTGCATTGTGAAGACCCATGCTATGTACCTTTGGTCTCAATTCAGGTTTGCCTGATATTAAGATCTGTAAAGCTACTTTGTTCTTTGTTTGGTATAGTTTCCCCATTCTTTTATCTCAATCTCTTTTCTAAATCACTTTCTTTTGGATATATATATTTTATACTCTAATTTTAAAAACATGTACTAAGAATTTTATTTTCTTAGGAGATACACATTAGAGACAGCAAATTTAATTAACATCAGTATAGTTACAAAATATCTATGAAGCCATAACTGGCTAAGTAACTCAGTTGGTCAAAAGGTCTAGTTTGTACATGAGCAGTGGATGGTGGCCTGGGATAAAGGGCATGTTGCAATTGAAGGATTGTGAGAAGCCCTGAACCCCACTGGGGCTGTAGCAATGTCCAGTGGAATCCGGGGTCAGAGACATAGAGGACCAGATGAGAAGTAAAAATGAGAGGTTCAGTCAGATTCTCAGCGTCATCCACTGTGGGCTCAAATTACCATGGGATCTGGACTCATAGCACTGTAAGGGAGGTATCCTAAGGGGGACATCAGAAACAAGTGCTGTCCATGGCATCTAGGCCATGGTGGAGGCCACAGGCACAATGTGAAGTAAACAGAGAGTCCCTGAGAGGTTCCACAACATCCTATGGCAACCTGTTGGGAGGAGTGTTCAGTGGCCTCTGGAAGCCCTGGTTGTCACAGTTGGTGACAGTATCTGGGGGCCTTGGAAATGTGTCAGTTACTGCAGGTAAAGAATCTTCACTGAGCAGAGGCCCAGGCTACAATTGTCCTTGGCAAGAATCTTCTTTGATCCTGGGGTTGGGATGAGAGAGACACTGACATTTGTCACCATATTCCATAACCATGGGTCCAGAGGATTGATCATGCATTAGAGGAAAATATCCCCAAACTCAGTGATGTATCTCTGCCTGTCTTTAGCCCCAGCAGATGACTCAGGAGCCCAGGAGATTCTGGAAAACTTAGTTGGGGTCAGAACCCTAGAGCCATAAGAGTGGTCCACTGCTACAACCTTGCCCATGTTCACCAGGGATTTCCAGTCCCCACCAGTGTCACTGGAAAACTTAATCAAAGGCACAGTGACATTGGGAGGAGTCATTCAGACATCAGGGAGATTACTAGTAGTGCTGTTGAGGGATAGCAGGCATGGGCCAGGGTGCATGGTTTCATCAGGATCCAGTGGGGGCCTCAGGAGTTGAAGATCAGGGACACAGCAGCAGCCAGAACCCTTGGCAAGATGTGGAAGGCCACCACTCAAAAGGACGGATTTGTCATCAAGTCATTGTCAAGCTGGAGCTGAGGCCTGCGGCCTCGAGCTCTATTCCTTGTACCCATTAAAAGGCGCCTCTTGGATACAGGCTGAACAGTTGTCTCCTCAGTCCCCAGTTCTCGAGGACAACGACCACGACCACGACCACGACCACGACCACGACCACAAGAACCCCAGCTTCCAGTGGAAGGGAGAAGAACCTGGGCTGATTTCCCCAGGGTAAGTGACTGGGTCTGGGTATGATATGCAGAGCTTTGGAATGCAGATCCAGGCACAGCATCAGTGCCACAACCTTTTGGGTTGTAACAGTGCCCTGGGGACACAGGCTGTGTGGGACACCGGGCTGTGAGGTTTGGGAGAAGCCTCAGGCCCAGAGCAGCTCTTCTAAGTACTATATCATCTCTCCAGTTGCTCAGCTCTTGGCTTTTTGCAACCCCGGGCTCTGTGTGATCCACAATGGCCAAGTCTTGCCTGTGTTTCCAGAGCTCATAACTCTCGGGTTGCACAATGCGCACGAAGGCGTCCATGGAAAAGGTCACCCTCGCCTCCCCACAGCTACACTGTGAAGCTACTTTGCCATAATCAATCCATCGTGGAGTGGCAAAATTGATGGCCTCTGCGCAGTTGAAGCCATGGTTGAAGCCAGCGTGGTAGCCATAGGGAAAGGTCACCATGAACTCCCCAGCCTCCTGAGTCATGCGATTGAAGGGGATCCCATTCTTTTTGAGAACTGTTGGCGAGATGAGGGCCACCTTGTGCCGCAGGAAGCCCTCACAGCCCCGAGAAGTGTCCGGGAAGAGCTCCCTGGCCAGACGTTCCAGGCGCTGACTATGTTCTGGGGGCACTGCATACCATGTTTTGGGCTCCCCAAGGTGCAGGTAGTTGATGCTGTAAAGGTCCATGTCCTCTGTGTGCCAAGCGAATGTGGTCTTCCACATGCCAAAGTATAGGTAGGGTGTGTTGACACCCTCAATGACAACCCCACATTCCTGCTCCAGCAGGTCCAGAATTGTTCCCAGGTGTCGTAGGTTCCACTGTTTAGTGTTTTCTTCAAACAAGGAGCCACTAATATCAGCACCATAAATTGCTGAATTACCAGGGTGGCTCTTCCAGTATTGTCGCTCCAAATCTCTAAAATTCCGGTGTAGTGGAGTCTGATATTTTTTACTGTTTGCCAAGTGGCGATACTCCGCCACCCTCATGGCTTTCTTCTTTTTATGGTATTGAGTAAACACCCCTGCCTGTCCAGAGGTCACCTGCTGGAGGGGAGTGGCTATTAAGATGTCTCCGATATCATCATACATCTGTCTGGCTTTCCATTCCTTGGGTGGAATTACCTTGGCAAGGCCAGCTTGATGTGCGCCTTGGGACTCCATGTAAGCAACATATTTGTTGAAATCTGTAAATTCTTCTATGGTCGGGTAAAAAGTCATGATGGTATGACTTGTGTTCTGGGGATCGGAGTGCGCAGACTTCATGGCTGCACACAAGAAGTAGCTGACTCCCAAGTTCTTAGGTGTCCTCTAGATGCCTGAGAGCGCTGGGGAGTAATTTCTTTTCTCCCCTTTGTTTTTCAAAATACTTTGGTTTATCTGTGAGGGAGTAATTCACACTTGAACTTTCAAACAAGTGAGATCTTTCTCAGGCTTTCTGACTCCCCAGGGGGATTCCACTCTAGTCAGTATATTTTTGTCAAAGAAGTAGAGTATGTCCCAGCTCTACCTGCAGCTCCGTGAGTTTCCTCAGTTGAGGGTGTCACTGTGAGGCTTCTCCTGATTCCCAGGCTTGGGTGCACTAGTAGCAGCTAGTGTACCACTCTACCTGGGGGTCTCTTCTAGGAAGTCAAAACAATACACCTAAACAACAACAACAAAAGATACAGAATATTCATATTTTTAAAATAAGTATATGACCAGACAAAAGAAATATTCAGCTAGCATTAAGCTAAACTAAAACATATGCTATGCTAACATCAGGTATGTTAACATTGTCAGGCCTCTGAGCCCAAGCTAAGCCATCATATCCCCAGTGACTTGCACGTGTACATCCAGATGGCCCGAAGCAACTGAAGATCCACAAAAGAAGTGAAAATAGCCTTAACTGATGACATTCCACCATTGTCATTTGTTTCTGCCCCACCCTAACTGATCAATGTACTTTGTAATCTCCCCCACCTTTAAGAATTTGTAATTCTTAGGCCGGGCGCGGTGGCTCAAGCCTGTAATCCCAGCACTCGGGAGGCCGAGACGGGCGGATCACAAGGTCAGGAGATCGAGACCATCCTGGCTAACCCGGTGAAACCCCGTCTCTACTAAAAAATACAAAAAACTAGCCGGGCGAGGTGGCGGGCGCCTGTAGTCCCAGCTACTCGGGAGGCTGAGGCAGGAGAATGGCGTGAACCCGGGAGGCGGAGCTTGCAGTGAGCTGAGATCCGGCCACTGCACTCCAGCCTGGGCGGCAGAGCGAGACTCTGTCTCAAAAAAAAAAAAAAAACCAAAAACAAGAATTTGTAATTCTTTGTAATTCTCCCCACCCTTGAGAATGTACTTTATGAGATCCTCCCTGCCCCCAAAACATTGCTCTTAACCCCACCTATCCCGAAACCTGTAAGAACTAATGATAATCCCACCACCCTTTGCTGACTCTCTTTTTGGACTCAGCCCACCTGCACCCAGGTGAAATAAACAGCCTTGTTGCTCACACAAAGTCTGTTTGGCGGTCTCTTCACATGAACACGTGAGACATTTGGTGCCGAAGACCCGGGTCAGCGGGACTCCTTCGGGAGACCAGTCACCTGTCCTCACCCTCACTCTGTGAAGAGATCCACCTATGACCTCAGGTCCTCAGCCCAAGGAACGTCTCACCGATTTTAAATCAGGTAAGCGGCCTCTTTTTACTCTGTTTTCCAACCTTTCTCACTATCCCCCAACCTCTTTCTCCTTTCAATCTTGGCACCACCCTTCAATCTCTCCCTTCTCTTAATTTCAATTCCTTTCATTTTCTGGTAGAGATGAAGGAGACACATTTTATCCGTGGACCCAAAACTCCGGCACCGGTCACGGACTTGGGAAGACAGCCTTCCCTTGATGTGTAGTCATTGCCAGGATGCCTCTCTGATTATTCACCCACGTTCCACTGGTGTCTGATCTCTGCTGGGACGCCTGCCTTGGTCATTTATCCACATTCCCTTGGTGGCAAGTCAATTGTGGGGACGCCTGCTGTGGCTGCTCACCCACGTTGCAGCCTGGGGCTGCTCCCCACCCCACTTCTCCATGTCTCTACCCTTCTCTTTAAACTTGCCTCCTTCACTATGGGCAACCTTTCACCCTCCATTCCTCCTTCTTCTCCCTTAGCCTGTGTTCTCAAGAACTTCAAAGCTCTTCAACTCTCTCTTGACCTAAAATCTAAGTGTCTTATTTTCTTCTGCAACACCGCTTGGCCCCAATACAAACTCGACAATTGTTCTAAATGGCCAGAAAACAGCACTTTTGATTTCTCCATCCTACGAGACCTAGATAATTTTTGTCAAAAAATGGGCAAATGGTGTGAGGTGCCTGACATCCAGACATTCTTTTACACATTGGTCCCTCCCTAGTCTCTGTTCCCAATGAGACTCGTCCCAAATCTTTCTTCTTTCTCTCCTGTCTGTTCCTTCAGTCTCCACCCCAAGCTCTGAGTCCTTTGAATCCTTCTTTTCTACGGACTTATCTGACCTCTCCCCTTCTCCCCAGGCTGCTCCTTGCCAGGCCAAGCCAGGTCCCAATTCTTCCTCAGCCTCTGCTCCCCCACCCTACAATCCTAGCATCTGCTCTGCTCACACCGGGTCTGGCTTACAGTTTCATTCCGCTACTAGCCCTCCCCAACCCGCCCAGCAATTTCCTCTTAAAAAGGTGACTAGAGCTAAAGGCATGGTCAAGGTTAATGCTCCTTTTTCTTTATCCCATATCAGATAGCGTTTAGGCTCTTTTTCATCAAATATAAAAACCCAGCCCAGTTCATGGCTCATTTGGCAGCAGCCCTGAGACACTTTACAGCCCTAGACCCTAAAAGGTCAAAAGGCTGTCTTATTCTCAATACGCATTTTATTTTATTACCCAACCTGCTCCCAACATTAAATAAAGCTCCAAAACTTAAATTCCAGCCCTCAAACCCCACAACAGGACTTAATTAACCTCGCCTTCAAGGTGTACGATAATAGAGTAGAGGCAGCCAAGTAGCAATGCATTTCTCAGTTGCAATTCCTTGCCTCCATTGTGAGTCAAACCCCAGCCACATCTCCAGCACACAAGAACTCCAAATGCCTGAACCTCAGCTGCCAGGGGTTCCTCCAGAACCTCCTACCCCAGGAGCTTGCTACAAGTGCCGGAAATCTGGCCACCGGGCCAAGGAATGCCCACAGCCCAGGATTCCTCCTAAGCCGTCTGTGCGGGACCCCACTAGAAATCGGACTGTCCAACTCACCTGGCAGCCACTCCCAGAGCCCCTGGAACTCTGGCCCAAGGTTCTCTGACTGACTTCTTCCCAGATCTTCTCGGCTTAGCGACTGAAGACTGATGCTGCCTGATGGTCTCGGAAACCCCCTAGACAGATGCTTTGGGTAACTCTTACAGTGGAGGGTAAGTCCATCCCCTTCTTAACCAATACGGAGGCTACCTACTCCACATTACCTTCTTTTCAAGGGCCTGTTTCCCTTGCCTCCATAACTGTTGTGGGTATTGACGGCCAAGCTTCTAAACCTCTTAAAACTTCCCAACTCTGGTGCCAACTTGGACAACATTCTTTAATGCCCTCATTTTTTGTTATCCCTACCTGCCCAGCTCCCTTGTTAGGTCGAGACATTTTAACTAAATTATCTGCTTCCCTGACTCTTCCTGGGCTACAGCCACACCTCATTGCCACCTTTTCCCCAAGTTCAAAGCCTCCTTCACATCCTCCCCTTGTATCACCTTAACCCACAAGTATGGGATACCTCTACTCCCTCCTTGGTGACTGATCATGCACCCCTTACCATCTCATTAAAACCTAATCACCCTTACCCCGCTCAATGCCCATATCCCATCCTGCAGCATGCTTTAAAAGGATTAAAGCCTGTTATCACTCTCCTGTTACAGCATGGCCTTTTAAAGCCTATAAACTCTCCTTACAATTCCCCCATTTTACTGTCCAAAAACCGGACAAGTCTTACAGGTTAGTTCAGGATCTGCACTTTATCAGCCAAATTGTTTTGCCTATCCACCCTGTGGTGCTAAACCCATATACTCTCCTATCCTAAATACCTCTCTCCATAACCCATTATTCTGTTCTGGATCTCAAACATGCTTTCTTTACTATTCCTTTGCACCCTTCATCCCACCCTCTCTTCACTTTCACTTGGATTGACCCTGACACCCATCAGGCTCAGCAAATTACCTAGGCTGCACTGCTGCAAGGCTTCACGGACAGCCCTCATTATTTCAGTCAAGCCCAAATTTCTTCCTCATCTGTTATCTATCTCGGCATAATTCTAATGAAAACACACATGCTCTCCCTGCTGATTGTGTCTGGCGAAATCTCCCAAACTCCAATCCCTTCTACAAAACAACAACTCCTTTCCTTCCTAGGCATGGTTAGGTATTTCTGCCTTTGGATACCTAGTTTTACCATCCTGACTAAACCATTATATAAACTCACAAAAGCAAACCTAGCTGACCCCACAGATCCTAAATCCTTTGGCCACTCCTTTCTGTTCCTTAAAAATAGCCCTAGAAGCTGCCCCCACACTAGCTCTCCCAACTCATCCCAACCCTTTTCATTACACACAGCCAAAGTGCAGGGCTGTGTGGTCGGAGTTCTTACACAAGAGCCAGGACCGTGCTGTAGCCTTTCTGTCCAAACAACTTGACCTTACTGTTTTAGCCTAGCCCTCATGTCTGCATGTGGTGGCTGCTGCCACCCTAATACTTTTAGAGGACCTCAAAATCACAAACTATGCTCAACTCACTCTCTATAGTTCTCATAACTTCCAAAATCTATTTTCTTCCTCACACCTGACACATATACTTTCTGCTCCCCGGCTCCTTCGGCTATACTGATTCTTTGTTGAGTCTCCCACAGTTACCATTGTTCCTGGCCCAGACTTCAATCTGGCCTCCCACATTATTCCGGATACCACACCTGACCCCCATGACTGTATCTCTCTGATCCACCTGGCATTCACTCTATTTCCCCATATTTCCTTCTTTCCTGTTCCTCACCCTAATCACACTTGGTTTATTGATGGACGTTCCACCAGGCCTAATCGCCACACACCAGCAAAGGCAGGCTATGCTATAGTATCTTCCACATCTATCATTGAGGCTACCATTCTGCCCCCCTCCACTAGCTCTCAGCAAGCCGAACTCATTGCCTTAACTCGAGCCCTCACTCTTGCAAAGGAATTACACGTCAATATTTCTACTGACTCTAAATATGCCTTCCATATCCTGCATCACCATGCTGTTATATGGGCTGAAAGACGTTTCCTCACTATGCAAGGGTCCTCCATCATTAATGCCTCTTTAATAAAAACTCTTCTCAAAGCCGCTTTACTTCCAAAGGAAGTTGGAGTCATTCACCGCAAGGGCCATCAAAAGGCATCAGATCCCATCGCTCAGAACAATGTTTATGCTGATAAGTTATGCTGATAACATGCTAAAAAAGCAGCTAGCATTACAACTTCTATCCCTCACGGCAGTTTTTCTGCTTCTCATCTGGCCACTCCCACCTACTCCCCCACTAAAACTTCCACCTATCAATCTCTTCCCACACAAAGCAAATGGTTCTTAGACCAAGGAAAATATCTCCTCCTTCCAGCCTCACAGGCCCATTCTATTCTGTCGTCATTTCATAACCTCTTCCATGAAGGTTACAAGCCGCTAGTCTGTCTCTTAGAACCTCTCATTTCCTTTCCATCGTGGAAATCTATCCTCAAGGAAATCACTTCTCAGTGTTCCATCTGCTATTCTCCTACTCCTCAGGGAGTGTTCAGGCCCCCTCCCTTCCCTACACATCAAGCTCCGGGATTTGCCCCCACCCGGGGCTGGCATATTGGCTTTACTCACGTGCCCTGAGTCAGGAAACTAAAATACCTCTTGGTCTGGGTAGACACTTTCACTGGATAGGTAGAGGCCTTTCCCACAGGTTCTGAGAAGGCCACCGCGGTCATTTCTTCCCTTCTGTCAGACATAATTCTTCAGTTTGGCCTTCCCACCTCTATATAGTCCAATAACGGACCGGCCTTTACTAGTCAAATTACCCAAGCAGTTTCTCAGGTTCTTGGTATTCAGTGGAAGCTTCATATCCCTTACTGACCTCGATCTTCAGGAAAGGTAAAAATGAACTAATGGCCTTTTAAAGACACACCTCACGAAGCTCAGCCTCCAACTTAAAAAGGACCGGATAGTGCTTTTACCTCTTGCCCTTCTCAGAATTAGAGCCTGTCCTCGAGATGCTACAGGGTACAGTCCATTTGAACTTTCATATGGATGCACTTTCTTGCTTGGCCCCAACCTCATCCCAGACACCAGCCCTCTATGCGACTATCTTTCAGTCCTCCATCAAGCTAGACAGGAAATTCACCAGGCTGTTAATCTTCTCTTGCCTACTCCAGATTTCTAGCCATATGAAGACACCCTAGCTGGACAATCAGTTCTTGTTAAGAATCTGATCCCTCAAACTCTACAACCTCGATGGACCGGACCCTACTTAGTCATCTATAGTACCCCAACTGCCGTCCACCTGCAGGATCCTCCCCACTGGGTTCACCATTCCAGGATAAAGCTGTGTCCATTGGACAGCCAGCCTGATCTCTCCTCTTCCTCCTGGAAGTCGCAAGTACTTTCCCCTACTTCCCTTAAACTCACTCACATTTCTGAAGAACAGTAATAACCCTTATGAGCCTAATACATCCCTTCATTATGTTAGGTCTGTTTGTCCTTACCCTACTTTTTGCAACAGGGCTTTATGAAGTCACCCCCACTACTTGGACTGAGCCCCAAAAACTAGTTATCCCTACTACTTCTGTCTAGTCATACTCCTATTCACCGTTCTCAACTACTCATAAATGCCCTACTCTTGTTTACACTGCCGGTTTACACTGTTTCTCCAAGCCATCACAGCTGATATCTCCTGGTGCTATCCTCAAACGGCCACTGTTAACTCCCTCTTAAAGTAAATAAATAAATAATTTTTGCTAGCAGGGCTATGCTGAACCTCCTTGGGCACTCTCTAATTGGATGTCCTGGGTCCTCCCAGTTCTTAGTCCTTTAATAACTGTTTTTCTCTTTCTCTTATTCAGACTGTGTGTCTTCTGTTTAGTTTCTCAATTCATACAAAACTGCATCCAGGCCATCACCAATCGTTGTATACAACAAATGCTCTTTCTAACAACCCCACAGTATCGCCCCTTACCCCAAAATCTTTCTTCAGTTTAATCTCTCCCACTCTAGGTTCCCACGCCACCCCTAATCCCACTCGAAGCAGCCCTGAGAAACATTGCCCATTATCTCTCCATACCACCCCCCAAAATTTTCCCCACCCTAACACTTTACCACTATTTTGTTTTATTTTTCTTATTAATTAAGAAGACAGGAATGTCAGGCCTCTGAGCCCAAGATAAGCCATCATGTCCCCAGCAACCTGCACATATATATCCAGATAGCCTGAAGCAACTGAAGATCCACAAAAGAAGTGAAAATAGCCTTAACTGATGACATTCCACCATTGTGATTTGTTTCTGCCCCACCCTAACTGATCAATGTACTTTGTAATCTCCCCCACCCTTAAGAAGGTTCTTTGTAATTCTTCCCACCCTTGAGAATGTACTTTGTGAGATCCTCCCTGCCCCCAAAACATTGCTCTTAACTCCACCGCCTATCCCAAAACCTCTAAGAACTAATAATAATCCCACCACCCTTTGCTAATTCTCTTTTTGGATTCAGCCCGCCTACACCCAGGTGAAATAAACAGCCTTGTTGCTCACACAAAGCCTGTTTGGTGGTCTCTTCACACGGACACGTGAGAAAAACATTAGGTCAAATCATAAAACAGAAAAAGAGCAGCATCAAACTAAAATGAAAAATGATCAAGTTTGAAAATGAATAAATTGAGCAGTCCACTCAAAAAACTGGATGCATTAACATCAATAGAAACAATGAAAATAAATTCACAAGAAGAAACCATTGCAAAAGGAAACAGAACACCCATCAGGAATGATGACAAAGAATGAAAACTGAGTTTTCAAAAAACATGATGAGAAGTAAAAAGCCATAGGCATGAAGAGAAAAGAAAGTACAAACAAAAACACATTGAGGTAAGAAACAAGCAGAATAGCTAAAAATCTGGTGGAGATATTTTACAATTTTTAACAAAATCTTATGAACTAATTGATGATAATGTTCTCAGTAGGACAGATATCCAAAAGTACTCTGACAGAGAAATAAAACAACCTACCTTTCAACAAAAACTCACAATTCCATCTGAAAATACTTCAGGACCCAAAGAAAAGGTTTCCTGTTGGTAAACTCCAAATAAAGCCCCCCGTTCCAAAGACCCTGGCTTTATACCTGGGCAACATCCTAACCCAATCAGGACCCAGCTAATGTAATCACTGGGCTGGGTCCAGATTAGGCATCCCACCCGTCCAAGCCCCTCCCTTTCATTTTGCATTTTAAACCAATCTGAAAACGAAGCTAAGTAGTTAAAAATCAAGGAATGGAAAAAGGCAACCCTGACAAATACCAAACAAAAGAAAACTAAAGCAGCTATATTAATATACAATGTAGTTGTAGATTAAAAAGGCACATTTTACAGTTATTGAATAAAAAAATTCACCAGAATAGTACAGTGATGAACTTTATGACCCTACACATAGCACTGACACATGGAAAGCCCGGACTGAGAGTTGTTGTAAAGTCAGACAGTAAAATATGCAATCGTGATGGTAGTTTTTAACGTTTTTTAACATTGTTCTTTCAGGAACCAATAGAGCAGAGTAGAAAATTAATAATGTTATAATAATAAGTACAAGCTTAAGAACTTTGAGGAACGAAAATTGCAACAATTAAAAAGCAAATGGAAAATGCTTCTCTCAGTACACAAGAAACATTTATAATAGATAAATTTACCAATACAGGGCTACAAAGTAAATATCAAATTAAAATCCCATAGAATGCATATACAGAAAACAGTCTTGACCAAAATGAAATGAAATTGAACGTCAACAATACAAAAGCTGAATCCAACCATATTTATTTGAAAATTTATATTCACATTTCTAAAATCCTATTGATCTTCAGGTTGAACTCAAGCAGTGAGTAAAAATGAAATGAAACAAAAGTATGCAAAAGAAAATGAAATATAAAAATGATCATGGATAGATAAATAAGCAAAAGGGAAAATGTATACTGAAATAGAAATGATTAATAAAACTAAAATCTGATACTTTTAAAGAAAAAATAAATAAGTGGCAGTATTGATAAACAAAGCACTTGGTAGGCCTGGGCAAGTAATATATAGACAGAGCCTAAAGCATTTGCAATAGTGAAAAATAAAAACTTGGTAAATACACACAGTCAAAAATGGGGTTACTTTGAGGGGCACAAGGAAAACAACTTCCAATGGCCAAATCTCCAAGCTGAGCAACAAAATATATAAATTGAATTATAATCCAAGCATGAAATAAATATCTATGAGTTCATACTGATACAAATTAAAAATTAAATAAATTAACAAATAGCTGAGAAGTGGCAAAATTCTTTTTTGTAAGAATTCTAAATGAATGAGGCCAGGCACAATTAGGCTGGGCGAGGTGGCTCATGCCTGTAATCCTAGCACTTTGGGAGGCCAAGACAGGTGAATCACTTGAGGTCAGGAGTTCAATACCAGCCTGGCCAATATGGTGAAACCACATCTCTACTAAAAATACAAAAATTAGCTGGGCGTGGTGGCACATGCCTGTAATCCCAGCTACTCAGGAGGCTGAGGCAGGGGAATCACTTGAAGAGGTTGCAGTGAGCTGAGATTGTGCCATTGCACCCAAGCCAGGGTGACAGAGCGAGACTCTGTCTCAAAAAAAAAAAAAAAACAACTAAATGGATTAAATTAATTAAAACATTGTCCATTTAAAAAATGTTATGACCTTACATGAACAGAATTGTGTTTTATGTATTTTCATGTATTTTTTGCTTGGCATTTCCCTCATCTATGTTGTTCTGTATAGCTGTACTTTGTCTTGTTTCCTTGCTGTAATTTATTCAATGGTATAAATGTTTCCATTGTTAATGGGTATTTGGTTCCTCTCTACTTTTGGCCTCTTACAGAAAATGTTGCTCTGAGAACGCTTGAACACAGATACTGGAGCTCACATGTACTCCCATCTATAAATGGATATCTTGGTCATAGAAGGCAGTCAGGCCTCCATATTCTCTGGGTTCAGCATCAGTGGGTTCAACCAACCAAGGATTAAATGTGTTCACAAAAGAAAAGAAACAGTGAAAAATAATAATCAGTAAAAACAACAAAAAATACAGTAAACCACTAACTGCATAGCCTGCTAGCCCATGACTAAGCTTTCCAGAATTTATTAAGATGGTTCTTACTTTTCTAGCTGCCCTCGTCTTGTCTCCTAGTTGCTTTTCTCCAGTTTAAGATATAGGCAATAAAACACATAGATCATAGGTCTCCACTTCAGTGAGTTTTAAAAATTATATACACTCATGTAATCATCACATGAAAGAAGACATAGAACATTAGCACAGCCCCATAGCATTGTCTCAGGACAGGGGCTTTCCAGTCAATCCCCACTCCCCACCAGAGGCAACCACTTTCTAACTTGGATGATTACAGGGGAGTATGGCCTGATTTGGGAATGAATAGGTATGGAATCATACAATATGTATTCACTTGGATTTTGCTTCTTTTCCCATACCCAATGTCTGTGAGATCATCTATCCTGTTGCACGTACCAGCAATTCATTCCTTTTCATTACTGAATTATATATATATATATACACACACACATACATATATATGTGTGTGTATATATATATATATTTTTTGAGACGGAGTCTCACTGTCTCCCCCAGACTGGAGTGCAGTGGCGCGATCTCGGCTCACTGCAAGCTCCGCCTCCCAGGTTCACGCCATTCTCCTGCCTCAGCCTCCCAAGTAGCTGGGACTACAGGTGCCCGCCACCATGCCTGGCTAATTTTTTTTGTATTTTTAGTAGAGATGCGGTTTCACCATGTTAGCCAGGATGGTCTCCATCTCCTGACCTCGTGATCCACTGCCTCAGCCTCCCAAAGTGCTGGGATTACAGGCGTGAGCCACCATGCCCGGCCGATAGCTGAATAATATTTTAATAAGCAACAGTTTTTCTACTCATCTGTTCAGAGATAGATGGATTCCATTTCTTGGTTCTTTTGAAGCACCAATGAGTGCTTAAGTTAATAGAAGATTGACACACAGTTCTCAGAGGAGCTATATGATATCACATTCCCACTAGCAATGCATGTGAGAGCCCATTGCTCTGGACATGGGACTGTTCCTCTCAGAGCCACAGTGCATGGTTCCAGTAAATCCAGGCCTAAACTGGGACTGATCCATCATGCCAAAGCTAAGATGTTTGCTTCTTGTCCTCATGACTTCTGGTGTTCAAAGAAACATGTTTTCAATGGAGTCACAACAATAATGCCATATATAGGAAGCTGAGATTCCCATGTGGCTATTTCAGTCTCCTCACATCACTGAACAACCATGCAAAGAAGCGTGATAATTTTGGCGGGGGTGATTGATCTTTATTCTCTCAAGGAAATATGCCTTTGAAATGCAAAGAAAGCTAAAATACAGTTGCAGGTCAGGTTTACTACAGAGCAGACTCTAAGACTTCAGCACCAAGGTCTTTCTTAAAGAGGGTCCTTGGGATCCATATCTGAGAAAGGGAGGAGGGAGAAGCAGGTGTGAGCACAGGAAAATGTTGATCTGCGGGTTAGGGCCAAAGATAGGCAGCCAATCCTGCAGGGAGCCCTGGAGCTCAAATAGGCTTTGCAGGGTTGTCCTGGGTTGAGCAGAGATGGCCAAGCTTTATCCTTCAGCACTGAGAAGTCATGGGATGTCAGCCAAACTGGGAAGAGGCATGGCCTTGGGTGAGGTAGCTCTCTGCCGCTGAAGGCCGTCTGCCGACTGCAGTCCAGACACGATGAAGCTTTTACCTATCACATAAAAGTTTATTCCTCGGTCATGCAAGATGTGCTGTGGGTCCAGCAGCTCTCTAGGGCTACTCCTTTCCTGTGAATGCAGCATGCTCTCATCTTGTGATTCCACCATGTCACTGTTAGCTTTAACCTCATTTCAGCCAGGCCTCTCACTCCATCCTCCTCTGTGCCTGGAGTCTCTGAGTTATCTCTCAGGTTGAATTTTCCAAAGAATAAACTTCCTTCTGTTATGACATTAAGAAAGACAAAGTTTCCCCAGTGAATGGGAGAAGCAGGAAGATATGGGTTTTTCTACCGTTTGTTGAAAACTTCAGAGAAGCACCGATTTTTTATTACTCCTACTTGAAAATTTAGAGCCCTACTGAAATTCTGATGGGGGAAGAAAGGAAGGGTGGTACTAAGCAGAGTACTTAACAAGCAAGGTGGCTTTCTTCTCAGAATGTTTCTTTCTGTATGAAAACTATCATTTTCAATTTCCAAAATATGATCTGTCCACTTCTGTGCATTTTCTTTTTGTTGTTTTTCAAGACAGAGTCTGGCTCTGTCACCTAGGCTAGACTTCAGTGGTACAATCATGGCTGACTGCAACTTTGACCTCCCAGGCTTAAGTGATCCTCCACTTTCAGCTACCTGAGTAGCTGGGACTACACATGTGTGCCACCAAACCCAAGTAATTTTTTAACTGTTTCTTTGCAGAAACTGAGTTTCACTATGTTGATGAGGCTGGCTATGCAATTTCAAAACTAGCAAGTCTAAGCAACTGTCACTCTCATT